CCTAGAAACAACACCTTCCAAGGCTGTGACTCGGAATAGATGTTCTCACCTCTGTGGAATTAAAGACAGATGTCACCTCCTTCATGGGCTTGTTGTGAGGACTTGGTGGAGTGGAGTGTGTCACAGCCAGCACAGAGGCGGGGACAGAGCCCAGGCTCCCGAACAGTGGCAGCGGGGAGCTGTGCTGGTGTGGACTGGGGAGCTTCAGGAACAGCATCGGTCAGTGCTCATCTTCCCTGACCTCCCTCAGGTCATCTAGACAGGTTCTAGGAGGTTCCATGGGTGAGTTTCTGGTGCTGATGGTGTAGATGTGTGTGGGTGAGCTCATAACTCCTTGCGCGTGCGTGGACTAGTTCACGAAGGTCTGCTGTTTGTGGCTCCAGGCTTCCTAGTGTTCATCATGTTCTTAAAGGGTTAAATGCCAGCGACTCAGGCTCTCCAGGTAGCTTCCTGAGACAGCCACCACCATGACCTGGACTGTGGTTAGCGAGCCATCACTGGAGGTAGTGGTTTTGTCCCCCCAGGTAGTTTCGAAGCCACATTTAATTTTAGATAAAGCAGTTTACCTAAAAGGCACCTGGTTTAGTGCAGGTGTTAGCCTAAATGCCGGAGTCTGTAAAAAGATAAAAGGGGAGGAGATACTATTTCAGACTGTTTGTCCCGCCGGCCCTCTGAACATGGATTGCTGCTTTAGTTTAGATTTGCTTGGGTGCATTTCTGGAGGGTTATCCATGGCCCTCACCTAAGAGTGGCACTTCTTACATCTGCATTCTCTTAGGGCGATAGCTTCGAACCCTGTTCTTCAAGACCTATTTGAAAGTGGGAGTGGCTTGAAGGGAAGGTGGGAAGTCAGGGTATTTCCTGTTTGGGCCGTTTTGTGTTTCATTTCTGTCAGCTCTTACTTCAAGGTCCTCACCCTAATTCTGGAAGGGTCTTGGTCATCTTGAACTATGTTTATTCAACATTCAACTCTTCTCTGACAGCCTTACTCATTAGCATAATAAAGTGATTTTTTTTTTTCAAAAAGAGATCATGAAATATATTTTTAAGTTACATAGCACATTGTGGCTACGATATCACTGAGCACTCATCATTACTCTTCATGGGAGGGAATTTTTCAAAGCTTCCTTTGGTTGGCTCTGTGCCAGGCACTGTGCTAAGCACTGCACAGACTTCTCTTAATTTCACAACAACCCTGTGAGATAGACACAGTTCTTATCTGAGATTCATAGACATGGAAATGAAGGCCTGGGAGAGGTCGCACAGCTAGTCTGGCGAAGGAGAATTTAAACCCCACCTTTCCTGAATTCACAGATGTACCCTCAGTCACCATGGGCATGCAGTGGGCTCTAAGACCAGGTCCGAGCCTGTGATAACCAGGTGTTAGACTGGGTGCTTTCTGAAGCGCCCCTCCCCCCGGCTTCGTTCTGTTTTTCTGCATAGGCCCCATGTAAGGAGCACTGCCATTGGCTGAAGTGGATCTGTGAGCTCGGCTCTATCTTCTTGTAATACTTGCAACTGCAATTTGATGGTTCTTAGGCAATTTATGAGATTGTGCTCATCCCTCCCACAGGCTGGACATGACAGGGGACACAGAGTTCTAGAAGACATAGTCCTTGTCCTTAAGGAACTCAGCTACAGTAGGTCCAAGAAAGGTACATACATAACCACAGCAGTAGGCATAATGCAGCACAGGAAGGAAAGACTGGGGGGGGGGGGGTGGCGGCTCTGAGGCTGGAGAAACGGGGCATTTCCGAGGGGAACATCCTCCTGTTGTCAAAGCAGTCCAGGCGCAAGCGGGTCCAGTGGGAGCCACAGTTAGACCCTGGGCTTTGCATCTGCGACTGCACTCCTGCTTCGCTTGGGAACCAGTCAACCTGGAGAGACCTGCGGCCACATTGTTTCCAAGTGACCTGCCTGACATGCGGTCATGATCAAAAAAGAGAACCAGTCTATTTTCCCTCCAAAAGGTACCAGTGAAAACTTTAAATCCACCTGGCCAGTGTGTGGTTTGTTGAGTGTCGTCCTATGCACCAAGAGTTTGCCAGTTTGATTCCTGGTCAGGGTACATGGTTTTGGGCTCCATCCCCGGTGGGTGGTGTGCAGGAGGTAGCCAATGGATGTATCTCTCTCATTGGTGTTTCTCTCTCCCTCTCCCTTTTTCTCTCTCTAAAAAAATCAATAAGAACATATTAAAAAAAAAAAAAACTAACAAAAACACTTCAGATCCCCTTCACTGCACCCCTATGCTATAGAGTTTTGAGCAAACAGGAAAAAACCAGTTGGCCAGTCTCAGGTGCGCAGAGTAATAGGAGGGCGATGGCAGCCAGCACAGGCTCCTACCTTCTGTTGGGCTCACATCATGTCTAAGAGACAGGGCGAACTCACTTTTAAATTCTGCACGCACCTGAATAAACCCCGCTGTTGCCTAGTTGCTCTTTATTCTTTGCCGGACAAGCAGAAAGGTTCCCCCTCGTGCCCTGTCGGCCTTGCTTAGGACATCCGGGGCCTTCGCACTTCTGTGCTGCAGACAGAAAACTGCCAGGGCAGCTTCTCCCGGCACTGGCAGTACCAGTAGTAACCTCCATCCCTGTGCTTACCTGTGGCAGGGTTTGGCTAAGCCCTTTCCACGGGTTCTCTTACGGACTAGCACTGGATTGATGATTGGGACTCAGGTCTCCTAGGACCTTGTGCTTGTGCTTGTCTGTGCCTGCGTGGCTCTCTGGTCAAGGGATCGTGGCTGAATAGGAGAGCCACCAGTGGCACTCAATTGACAGACCCCAGATGCCTGGGTCCCAAGTCCAGACCTACTGACTCAGGTTCATACTGAAAGATCTCCTAGGATCAGGGATCTGAATTTGTGATAAGCTTCCTTAGAGATGCTTGACTCGCCCAGGGTTGAGAATGGCGAATCGCACTGCCTACTCCCAGCCCTTGTACCTGCTCGTGGATTTACACACTTGCTTCCTTCCATTGGGACGGCCGGCCATTCCCTGGAAGTTCTTCATCCTGAAGTGACCATCTTCCTTCCCTCCTGGGCCATCTGTGGTTCTTCCCTCTGGTCCCCCAGTTTTCCCGCAGTTGCTGTAAACTGCCTGGGACAGGTCTGCTTTCCTTCATTTCGGAGGGTGTGTATCTTTCCGACCAAACAGAAAACTGTAGAAGGCAGCAATGGCCATTTCCTTTCCTTTTAATGGTCTTCACTCCACGTGACCATGCCTGTCCCTGTCTCTCCCTCTGAAATGTTTCCTTCTGCACCCCAGCACGCAGTGGGGACTTACCTGATGGGGACCGCTCAGCGCCTGTCCAGACCCTCATGGCTGCGACTGAGGACATGTTTCTGGGTTTGGTGGTTTTAATTTCAGTGCTTTGATTGCAAACTGATGACTCACAATACAAGGCTCCTGTGAGCAGCTAGCTGGCCTCCTTCTCCCAAAGTGTCCAGTTGTTTATAGGCATCATTAAACCAGGCTGTTGGAAGGGTTGACCTCTTTTTCTGTAGTTTATTTTTATTTTTTTTCTGGAGCATCAGGAAGGCCATAGCTTTCTCCCAAACATACTCGTGAAAAAGTTAGAAGCACTAGTAAAGATGCCTTCCCACAGTTAACCGAGGTAGGAAATACCCTGTGTTACACCCCTTGCTCACCTCTTTGGTAAAAAAATGGATGAGAGGAGAAGCGGAGAGAACTAACTGCTGGGTGGTCCCTGAACTCGAGAGGCGCTAGTGAGCAGCCCGAGCCCCTCTCTTCCTTTCTTTTCATGCAGTTCCCTTTCCTTGATGCTAATGCAAGTTGTGCCCTCCTAAAAGTAATAAAAGGAGATGAAGACACGTTCTGAAATGAAACTTGACTCTAATCCATTCATCATCTAATACTAGCCTCTTTATCTTCCCTGGTACCTAATCTGGTTAAATGTCCCTGTTGTAGGATTTTAGTGAAAATCCTCTATTGGGAATAGGGTTTTTTGCAATTGGATTACTCTCAGTAAATGGCCCAGTAGTTCGCTTGTTTCAGCTTAATTTTTTCTTTGTGATCTTGCTGGGCTAAGTTATAGCATCCAGTAGTGGAGGGGGATGGGTGGGCTGATCGTGGGGCAGGGGAAGGAGAGAATAATTTGGAAAGGTCTGGTCATGGCAACTAGAAAAATCTTAAAAATGCTTTTCTTTTTTCCCCTTGCTTCTCTCCTGTCCACCCTTCCCAAACATAAAAACGCCTGCACTTGGGTTTTCTAGGACTGCCCGTTTCTAAAATGCATACCTTTTATTAGCCCAATTCATCATCATCCAGTTAATTTATTAGATTTCCCTGGTGACTTCCTAATGAAATTCCTAACGAATCAAGGCTGATGTAATCTGCATAAAATATTCAGGTGCTTGCCTGGCAGTGTAGAGCTTTCTGATAAAGTTCACACTCCCAGCCAGGCCAGGAGTGGGCTTTCATCCAAGCCCTCTGAAAGGGTCGTTTCGTGCCCCCTGGCCCCGGGGGCGGGGTGGGGGGGCAGGAGCTGGAGGGGGGGGGGGGGGAGGCTGAGTGGGTGGGATGTGGGCCCTGCCCGGTTTCTTGTAACCGAAGGTTTTCCTAGCCAGTCCCCGAGAAGCCTGCCTGTCCCCGAAGGGCCCTCTGCTGGGCCCCTGGGGCGGGAGATTCTCCCCCACCCCACACACGTGGGAACACAGTATGCCTGGGAGGTTCCAGTGCTCACCTCCGATTTACCTGCAGTCGGGAAAAGTGCAAACTCATGGGCTCCATGATGGGGGGTGGGGGGTGGAGCAGGTATTTTAAAGGCCAAGCTCAGTGGGGAGGAGAAAACTGAAGCGCACCTACTCAGAGAGCTGTCTCACAACTGTCTGTGATTTTTAATCCCTGGATTGGGGCCAGGGCCGAGCTCGGGATTGAGTGCATTTTATCAAGGCCAGGTGGAGGGTGTGGTCAGGGGAGCCCTGGGCCCTGGGCAGCTGGGGACCCGGCTTGATGGTGCCTCTCTCTGTTCTCCTCCCGCAGTCGAACAAAGTGCCCGTGGTGCAGCACCCTCACCATGTCCACCCTCTCACGCCTCTTATCACCTACAGCAACGAACACTTCACCCCAGGAAACCCGCCTCCACACTTACCAGCTGACGTAGACCCCAAAACAGGTAGGCTGTGTGCGCAAGAGGGGGTGCTGGTCCTGGGACCACCCTAGGACCTGCTGGGGGAGGGGCAGGGGGGCTGTGAGGAGGGGCTCCTGTTTCTCTCCTGGGTACTGAACGGAAGGCTGAGGGCCTGTTTTCTCTCTTCTGGGAAGTCTCTAGTGCTCTGGGTACCCTTCTGGCTCCTTGGGAGTCCAAGAGCCCAATGCCATGGCTCCCTGAAGCCCTGGTTCCCTTGGTGGCCAAGGGACTCCAGTCACTTGATGATGACATTTGGTGCAGCCTCAGGAAACTACATTGCTGGGCTCCGCATTCTCTGTGCTGGTTTATGTGGGTTCTTCCTCCCCTATACTTTCCTAGGTGTTACCAACCCATTTTACAGATGTGAAAACCGAATCCTCAGGGGTTCTCCATTGCATCGTACAACAGCCAATAGGATCTCAGCCAGAAGTTTCCATCTCCAGCCTTGTTCCCTCCTTTCCATCCCTGCTTTTCCCCAAAGGGGAGAGAGAGAACCTACAAGACTTAAAACAAGCAGGTGGCCACAGCTCGGGGTGGGGTGGTCCTGGGAGGGAGCTAAGGCCAGGGAGCTAGAGCCAGGGTGTGTCTTGCTGGCTGGGGTTTCTCTTCCCAGCTAGTCCATTAGGAGGATGGATTTGAACTGGCTGTTTGTGTCACTTTGTCGGAGGGAATTGTTTGGTGTCGGGCAGAGGTAGACTTCCTGTTCAGGCGGCCTCTGCTGCCCCTGAATGAAGCCACACATTAGCTGGTTTTCACCAGCCTCTGAGCCCCCTTTGTGCTGTGGGCGAGACTGGCAGGGTTGGCCGGAGGAGCGGCAGCGGCCAAGCTCCGGGAGAGAGTGGCAGCATCAGCGTCTCATCGAAATAATGGTAGCACAGGGACTCGCTTTTAAATGGTTATCGTAAAACATATGATGACCGTCTGCGGACTGTTTACTTTTCCTCCTCGAACATTGTGCGAACGGCCTGGTGTAGGGGTCCGAGCCCAGCTAATCCGTTCGGTGTTTGTAATAGAGAGAAAGCAGTGTCTGCAGGAAACGGTCACCCAGGGAGACTTAATTTACAGATTAAAAGCTTCCGGAATGAATTTTTTAAAAAATGAAATAGTTCTCATCCACGAACACGCAGTTCTCGGTCCCTTCCACGCTGTTTGAGTTCTGTGGAACTGTTCCTGCGAGGTGAGCCCCTGTGTCTGCGGCTCCCGCTGTGCTCGGACTCGGCTTCAGCCCCGGGCGCTGACTGTGCCCCGTGACTCAGCGGCACCCAGGTGGGGCTGACACCCGCTGGTGACTGTCCTTTAGAGGATCTGCGTCCGGCATTGGGGCTGCCTGGTCTCCAGCATCTCCCTGTCTCCAGTTCAGGTTTCCCTTGGATAAGATGCGTTGGCATTTGGTGAGGTTCTCCTACAGCGTATCTTCTAGGCTCGGGTGGAGACATTCTAGCGTTAACTTTTTTGAAAGAAGTCAAAAGCTGTTACTCAGAAAGTATGTCAGAAACCACAGTCCTGCAGGTAAGTCATTAGAGTTAAAGGGAGTGAGGGACAGGAAGTAACATGACTTGATCACCCACTGTGTGCCACACCCTCGAGATTAAAAGCATTTTTTTAATCACACCAGTCATAAAAGAGAGAAGTACCCAAGATGGCATTTCCGGGTCTGTCTGAATGAGCTCAGCCAACTCTTCGGCCTGAGGTAGAGGGACAGTGAGAGCAAGACCCCTATGCTTACAGCCAGGGAAGAGCCTCATGGCTAGGGTTACCGAGGACGTGTCTCCCTTCACCCTTTCCTGTTCCGGTCTCTCCACAGTTTCTCTTCCTTCCCTCCCCTTTGTACCTAAAATGCCGCTTCTTCCCCAGGAATCCCACGGCCTCCGCACCCTCCAGATATATCTCCGTATTACCCGCTGTCGCCCGGCACCGTAGGACAAATCCCCCATCCGCTAGGATGGTTAGTACCACAGTAAGGAGTTCCATTTTTTAATTTCCTTTTTGATTTTTACATGGGCATGCTTATTATTTCTTCTGTGCATGTGTGTGTGTTTCAGAAGACAGGGCTGGTGGGAGGGCACGGGGGTGTGGGGAGGTGCCTGCTGAGATGCCCTGTGGGAGAGAGGGCAGGTCAGTGGCACCCGTGGGTTAAGGAAAAGGGGACGGGGACTTAGCACTCTGAAGCCGTGGCCCCGAAGGCTCTGGGTTCCTCTCTGGGAACAGAGGTGCCCCGAGGTACTTAGGGAATCACAGAAGGCGCCGAGGGCTTACCCAGTGAAGCCGGCCATGGCCCCGCCGCTGTGGCCGCCCACATTGGGCCCCGCCGTCGGGGGCTCGGGGGAGGCAGCAGCCGAGTGGCAACGGGCACCCAGTTTTGAAACCCAGGGCTGGGGGCTGAGGACTGGGTTATACTGCCCCCCACCACCACCATCGGGACTGTGAATCTCAAGTTTGACATCAACAGTGGACAGTTTGTCTCTCAGTGAGCTCCATGTTATTTAACCAGCACCTCTCTGAGATCCTGCATGTCAAAGGCTTCGCCTAATGATGAGGGGTGGGGGTGGGGCAGCTACAGTCTCACTCCAGCCTGTGGGGCCTGCCTGATGCTAGCCCCCTGCAGCGCGCCCAGATCATCAGACTGCCTTCGACAATTTGTCTTCTGTCACCCCATCTTGCTTTTACAGGACCACCCATTAACCTTCCTCAGCCAACTTTGAAAAGTGTGTTTTCAAATCAGAGTAGAAAGGCCTTCAGTGCATAAGCATACTATGTGTATATGCATGTAACGTGTGTTTTGCGATTGCATGTTTTGTGTATGTATTTCTGCATGTTTATGTGATGTGCATGTGATCTCTACTGTTTAAAAAATGCAAAACACAGGACAATTTGTTGACTTTTAACCAGAATATTTGGCAAAACACTCAAGGTTGGGTCTTGGGGAAGACAGCCTTTCATAACCTTAGAGAAGACATAATTTTGGAGTGGTTTCCCACCTTCACCCCCATTCTACCCTTATTGCTCAAGTTGAACAGATTCTACAATTTTTTTTTAAACAGCTTGTATCATGTAGTAGTAACTACACTGAATTCCAACCCTGAGTGTAGTTTCTGTGTATTATTTCCCAATGTTGTTTGGGAAGGTAGCCATGGACCATGAACCTGAGCTTGGATCCCATTCCTTCTTCAGTCAACGGGCCATTCTTCCAATAGTTCTCAGTCATCACTTGCCCCGCTCAGCTGACGGGAAGATATTTGAAGGCTGGATAAAAAGGAATAGCCAACTCAGACAGTCCGCTGTCAGAAAAAGTTGTGTGTCTTTCATGAGGATGCTATTTTGCATGTTGCTGTATTTTTTAATTATTGTAATGAGGTGTGATTGTCTATTGGTTACCCACAATTCTTCTTGGGGACTCTCCCCCCGGTAACTCTTGTCAACACTTGTTAATTTGACAAAAGGCTACAAATTAAGCTCTGTTAATTTAATGTTTTCTCACCGAGATCTAAATACCGAAAGAGGCCCAAAGCGCAACTGAAGTCCTTTGATTCACTGTACTTTATTTTGGTATAAATTTACATTCATTATTGTTTTCCTTTGGATGTGTAGCCCTCAATTAGTGTGATGGCTCCATTAAAGCAAGCGAGACTTCGCCTTTAATTATTACAACAAAACACCTAGTTTCAGCTTGGGGAGAGGGTCTCTATTGACATAAGCAGAGGTTATAAAATTTAATTAGCCATTCCTATCAGATTTATGGCATTCAAATTGTTCTGTGTTTCTTCCCTTTGATCCTTCCTGTACAATCCCCAAGATTTTTGTTCTGATCAAATGAGAATAAAGCTTACTGTGCAGAGAGAACTTCTCCTTTTTCTTCTTTTTCTTTCCCCCACCCCCACCCTCAATGGCACGCTCTCACTTTGTACCCCCCTCTTTGTAGGCAAGGTCAGCCCGTGTACCCAATCACGACAGGAGGATTCCGCCACCCCTACCCCACAGCCCTGACTGTCAACGCTTCCATGTCCAGGTGAGTTCCAAGCGCTGTGGCCTTCAACCAAGGCCGTGGGTGACTTCTTGGGAAGTTCTCTAGGTGGCCACCAGGCTGTCAGGGCCTGCTGCAGCTTGAGCTTCTAGTGGTGTAAGACCCGTCCAGTGTTAGGGCTTTCCTCCTAGAAAACACTGAAAAATCATCCCAAACTTCCCCAGGTAGGTGATAGCAAAATTCCAAGGTGAAATTTTTGAGATGGTCAGTTGAACACTTATGTATGGATATATTTATGTTAATGTTTACCCAAGGGTATTTTTCCAGTAATTTTTTTTTAGATAGAGTGGAAGGGAAGAAGAGGTGGGGAGAGAGAGAAACATCGATGTGAGAGAGACACATTGACTGTTTGCCTCCTGCACAATCCTGACCGGGGCTGGGGATCGAACCTGCGACCCTTCAGTCCTCGGGCTGACGTTCCAACTACTGAGCCAAGCCAGCCAGGGCCAAACACGTATTTTATCTGAATTTAAAAGGGCAGGAAGAGGTAGTTAGAACATGCAGAGCTTCTTAAAGTGGTTGTTTCTCTGTTGCTCTAGACTTGGGTAAGGAAGGAACAGGTAGAGAATTTTACTTTTTTTTATTTTTTATTTTTATTCCTCACCCAAGGATACTTTTTTCTATTTATCATCAGATAGAGTTGGGAGAGAGAGAGAGAGACAGAGAGAGAAACATTGATGTGATAGAGCCACATCGACTGGTTGCCTCCTGCACAACCCAACCAGGGCCGGGGACACTGCAACTGAGGTACGTGCCCTCGTGGAATCAAACCCGTGACTCTGGTCCGCGGGCTGATGCTCTCACTGCTGAGCCAAACTGGCCAGGGTGAGAATTCTACTATTACACAAAGAAGAATTTGAGGAAAGGCTATTGGTCTTTTTTCAAAGCTGACACTTTAGTGTCAGTAAGAAAGGACACCCCTCTCTAAAGTAGCAACTGGCCAATAGAAATGTAAGGTGAGCCACACATGGAACTTTAAGTTTTCTAGTAGCCAAATTTAACAGACTATTAAAATAAAAAAACAGGTGAGCCCTGGCTGGTTTGGCTCAGGGGTTAGAGCATTGGCCTGCGGTCCAGAGAGATCCGGGTTTGGTTCCCACTAAGGGCACGTACCTCGGTTGCGGTTTGTCCCCGGCCCTGGTTGGTCGTGCGGGTGGCAGCCACTCGATGTGTCCCTTTCATATTGATGTTTCTCTCTCTCTCTCTCTCTCTCTCTCTCTCTTCCTCTCTCTCCCTCCCACTCTATCTGAACAAAAAATGGGAAAATGTCCTCGGGTAAGGATCAAAAACAAAAACAAAAAAACAAAAACAGGTGAAATTATGTTTAATGATATATTTTATTCAATTCAGTGTAGTCAAATACTATCATTCTGATATGTTATCCCTGCAAAGCAACTGTGAGTGAGATTTTACATTCTTTTTTGTACTTAGCTTTTGAAATGTGATGTGTATTTTCTGCTCACAGCGCATCTCAGTTAGAACTGGCCATATCTCAGGTACTCCGTAGCCACGTGTGGCTGGTGGCTACCACAGTGGCCCATGCAGCTCGAAAGCTCTGAATGTTCAAAGAACCACGTGTGTAAACATCATGTATCTTTAAGCATAGGGTACATATGCAGCGGGCACACACACCTACATGTGTGTGCCTAGATCCTCCCAGTGCCGCACCCCCCTTTCCTTCCCTCATTAATCCTGGCTAATTTTTCAGTGACTGCTAGTTTATTTACAAACTGGTTGGCAGCAGTCTGTTTAAGTAGTCACTAATTGCTCCTAATGATAGTTTTATTTTCTGTTCATCTGATTTTCAGTCGAGTTAATTAAATCGGTGGAGGTTTAGACTTTCCTGATGGGCTGCAACAACTAATCCATTTTGATGATGGCACATAATTCAATTAGCAGACATTACACAGCAAAGATGCCGACCCCAACCTCTTCCCCGGTCTCTAGCCAACATGGGAACCCCAGACCGAGGGGTGGCTGGAAAGACAGGCCGAGGTGTCTTTTCCTACAGTGCTTTGAGTGGGGGAGAGAGTAAGAGTCACATTCACTAAGAAAAACCAACTGTAGCATATCTTACATCTGTCATTATGCCATGGATATCAGGCAGTTACCAAGATCCATCTCCCACGTGTGATGAATCACGTCAGTTCCCAAAGCCACACCAGCATTGGTTAGGCAGGAGAATCCTTGGCGTGTCCTCTTCCCTAGCGAGAAGAGGAAGAGTGTATTCATTAGATAATGTCCACACAGCCTCACAAAGCCTGGGAACAAATGGGGAGGCCCCCAGGAGGAAAGCTGCTCTGAGCAGCTTAGAATCCTCAGCTCAGCCTCCCTCCATCCAGCATTTATATGATGTACCTGATTGCTTTTCATGTTTGTTTACTTGGTGCTTTTCAGGGGTTAAAAGCGGGGAAGTAATCGTAGGATAGGGATTGGGGTTAAGCTTATTGATTGAATTATCATTAGGAGGTTAGTGGATATTTATTGGTGGGCAGAGGGGTGGAGGAAAGGAGGGGAAGGGTGAGAGGAAAGGTTAGGGGCTCCGGGTGCAGGGGAGACGGTGATTCCCCAGGTAGGCCTTATGAAAGGTAGCTAGTTAAAAAGCGTATACAGCAAATTAAATACATTATTGTGGTAATGGGGCGACAGAAGTATAGGTCTATTATACTTATGGCAGTTATAGGAAATGTAGGCAGCTTGCCCTGTTCCAGAACACCCTTTGATATTCATTCTATTCAGCAGCGGGGCCAGGACTTCTCAGAATTAAGTGATGGGTCATTATACTTTAAACACCATGGAGAAGCCTAGATTGGCAATTAAACAGCTCTTGCTGACACTCACTTGTGCCACCCTGTGACCCCCTTTAGATTGAGATGTTGGAGCTCCGGGCCTCAGCCTGCTAAATTGGCGCAAGGCTCTTCTCCTGACGAGAGCGGGCTCTGAAATCCGCCGACTTCAAAGGGAGAGAGATCATGTATAAACCATAATGTGGGTGCACCGTGGCTCGCAAAAAATAAGGCAGGAAGAGATGAAATGTTACAAGTGCAAGGGGGAAAATGAGAGAATAATGACAAACCTAATGCAACTCAAAGCCGGGTTGTTGCACAGGAAAATGCATCCTACTGCTTGTGCATAAATCAAGGCCGGCAGATGACATCCAGTTAACAGAAACGTGTCAACAGTGAAATAAAGTGAGAGTGAGTGAGAGAGAAGCCCCTGAGACAGCCAGAAACAAAAATTAGTTGTCCTTAACAAGTTAAGATTCTGGCTTGGAGCCATGAAAGCAGACGGGGGCATATAATGAGATGCTTGGAATTTTTAGGGTGTTTATTGCATTTCATGGAACAGTTGTCCGCAGAAGGGAGTTTCTCAGGGAAGGTGCGTGTACAGCGCCCCACGTGCATGTGCGTGTACACACACACACAGACGGTTCCTGCTGTACATGTTTCAGATCTGTGAGTGTGTGTGCATACATGCACTAGGAAGGATTCGTTCTTCATGGCTGCACTGGAAAATTTTCTTCGCCCCAAAATGTACACAAGCTGTGGTGTCTCCCTGTGGTATTTGGTACGCATGCGCGCACACACACGCATATTTTAAAATTGGAGACAAGCTGCCCCTGCACCCACCCTTCACCCAAGGCTTCCAGGACCACACATTCTGAACCTGGGTTCCCCAGGTCTCCGGGCACTGGGAGGAACGGGTTGTAGTGGGGAGGCGGAGTGCCCGCATAGGTTCGCTTTCCATTTTTCCAGGGGAAGGGGATGGAGGTTGGTTGTTTATTTTTCTTTTGCTTATTCTCATAGTTTTTCATATTCTCTCTCGCTCTCAAGGATGTTTCTTTTCTTTTTTAAACCCTAAGAGGACTCGAATGATTTTTATGAAGCCATGGCATTCATACCAAACTGTGATACCGGCTTGCATTAGTGAAGACAGAGGCAGGGCAGGCCACATCGGGATGGAATTTCCTAGCGGTGTCCCTGGGATTCCGGGCCCCTGTCAAAGGCCCACATGACTCATTGGTATTTTCTCTGTTGATTGATGCAGATTCAGTTATTTCCTTACCTTTTCATCATTTTTCAACTCAACGTTTATTACATTATTTTGTTTAAATGGAAACTGTTTTCATCTCCAATCTACCTATGGAAAGAATGTACATAAATATAGATCCTTTTGAGAAACTGTCATGATGAACCCTCATTGGCACCTCCCATCAGGCTCCCCGAAGCGCAGGCTGGCATGTGGGGCTGCTCTGGTCTGGATTTGTCAGGAAAGCCTCAACTGCCTGCCCGCTTGCCCGCTCTGTCCCCTGAAGAGCACCCCTCTGCTCCCCTGCAGAACCTCGGCAGGTGGAGCCCGGAGGCTGCCGCTGCGCTTGCTCTCGGGGTTTGCTCCTTGCCCTGCGTTTCTCTGCAGTGGTGCACAGCAGGTCCTCAGACAACATGTTTTCTTTAAGTGCTGTTGTGCTGTGACATCACTGAGATGCCATGGTAACCTCACTCTTGTTGATATCAACTAGCCTATGGTAAAGTTGGTTTCAGTATGTGTCGTTTTGCTTGTCGTCTCAGAAAGTATCGGTGACTTTGAGGCTTACCCGTGTGTTCCTTTAGGAAGGGTGATTCTTGTGACTTAGTACAAATCATGGTGACTTCATGTATTTCAGAAAACGTGGAAGCTGTTTGTCTGACCCAGTTGTCAGTCTGCAGATGGGCCAAGGGTATTTTGAAATTCTCTCTGTATGTCCTGGCTAGTTTGCATGGTTGGGAAATGCCAATTCAGGGCATAAACAGTGTTTCAAAGGACTTTCCTAAGAATAAACAGCATTAGAGGAGACGACATAAACTTTATTATCTTTGTTTACACTTTGATAATGATTTAGAAGGTTAACGCATAGGCAGTATATTGAGTAAAGTAATCTAGAAATCCTAGAATTTTAGGGCAAGAATGGGCATACAAATCAGAATTAAAAGCTGTGTGTGTGTAAATAGTGCACTTTTTTTCACCTTTCTGTAAGACGATACAAACTTACTTGAAATGTCCAGACTTACATTGAGAACCAAATAGGAAATATTTGGACGTTCTCCATCTTTCTGCCTCACCATCTCCCGTCCCTGTCAGAACGATGGGGTCCAATGGAAAAGAAGATGGTGACGCAGCCCCGTCGGGGTGTGTGTATAATCGCCTGCGTTAATATTTCATTTAGCTGCAATACACAGCAAAAGATGTCACCTTTCATTCTGGTGCTGATTAGGACTTAGGAAATTGTCTTCTTAGAGGCCACTAATAACACCTGAAAAACCACGCGGACTTGTGATTTCCAGCAGGTCATCCAGTTGCCCCCCCCCCCCCCCAAGTACATCAGTTAAATTTGTCTTTTGCTCAAGATGTTAAAAATCATAATGTCTCGTGTCAGTAACCATAATGAAGGAGAAGATTGGCTTTAATGACATTATGAGAATCATTATGTTTAATTTATCGCTAATTAATGCTGACAGGTTTCATATGCCTTGGTTTGCTTTCATGTGAGTGTTACGTGCTTTTTTTTTTTTTTAATTGTGTGTACACATCCCTCCCCATTCATTCATTTTGATTCTGACGATTTACACAGCTTTCTGTCTTCCAGGTTTCCTCCCCATATGGTCCCACCACATCATACTCTCCATACGACCGGCATCCCCCACCCGGCCATTGTCACGCCCACCGTCAAACAGGAGTCCTCCCAGAGTGACGTCGGCTCCCTCCACAGCTCGTGAGTGTCGCTCTTCTCTCTTTCTCCTCTGCCATTGCATGTCGCCTGTGGTTGCTGGGATGGTGGCTCTGCCCAGGGCTGGCCTGCTGTGTGGGATTCCAGCAAAGCCCCAGCTCGGATGGGCTCTGGACTCTCAGAGAGGGAGGGATGCAGGGTCGGGAGAGAAGAGAACTCTCTGTGTATGCGGCTGGACTGGGATTCGCAACCAGGTCCCTGCCCCGAACCCTGTCTGAGCGCGTGGAGCTCTGTCCTTGACCACGAGCCGGGCGGGAGGTGGTGGCCACAGGTGCTTTCCCCTCCAGCCTGGGAAAATTGTGTATTTGTGCAACTTGAGGAAGTGATTACAAAACCTTCTGTTCCCCCAGCCCCTCCCCGGGCTGTGCTTGTTCCATTATCCAGAGTAGGGAAGACCAGACTGGAAGCTGCTTTTTGTTCCAAACTGCTGGGTGTGAGCATTGAGGAACCAACGCAATGGGTTGGTTCTGTGCTGGGGAGGAAGCTGGACCTTGCGATTGTTTATTGGGTGGTGTGTGTCTGTTTTGTCCACGTCCAGAAAACATCAGGACTCCAAAAAGGAAGAAGAAAAGAAGAAGCCCCACATAAAGAAGCCTCTTAACGCGTTCATGTTGTACATGAAGGAAATGAGAGCAAAGGTCGTTGCCGAGTGCACGTTGAAAGAGAGCGCGGCCATCAACCAGATCCTGGGGCGGAGGGTAGGTGGCTCCCTAGCAGGGGAAGAGCGGGAGTGGACTAGGATGCAGCGGGGCGACAAGGTGTCCCCATCCCCACGGGTTTGGAGAGTCCTTTTCCTGCAGCCACGCTGTGACTCCCTGGGTGGCCTCCCTGGAGTCAGGACCAGTCACTCCACAGTCACAGGAGGTTCAGAACAGCCACAGCCATGGTCTTCCCCCACCCCCAGCGGAGGGCAGTGATGGAATGACGTAGACGACAGGTTGTCTTATCTGAGCACTCCTGTTAGCGCCAGGACCCCAGGTTGGATCTGATGGACGGATCCGAAAAAGAAGCTCCATTCATGGCTCGGCCACAACGTAGTTGGTGATGTTTCTGCATGTCTCTCTCTGTCTCCCTCCCACCATGTCCCCTCCAGTGGCACGCCTTGTCGAGAGAGGAGCAAGCGAAATACTACGAGCTGGCCCGGAAGGAGCGACAGCTTCACATGCAGCTGTACCCCGGCTGGTCCGCACGGGATAACTATGTAGGTGGATCCTTGTCTCCGGGCTGGAGCCCCTGGACATGTGCTGGGTGTGCACATGGACAAAGGGACTGCCAGCTGGCATCCGGCCTCAGAGCCATTCGTTCTGCCCACTGCTGGCACTGGTAGCATCTCGTCCGAGCACGGGGTCTGGGGAGGGGCTCAGTGTGGCTACATCACCATTCAGGGAGGTGGTCCCTGGGGGGCCTTCCGGGGGTGGCTTCCGGGGAAGTGAGTGGGTGGAGGGAGAGAATTTAGTTCCTAGAAGATTTTCCAGCAGCGCCTTCATCCTTAAGAAGGAAAATCAAAACAATGCCTTGTTCTGTGGTGCAGTAGAAGTTGGGAGCCTAGTTCATCCTGAGAGGGGCATGATGGGAATATCTCTGAGAGCAGCCAGTGGAAGTCATCCTTTGGCAGGGACCCGGCAAGGGGTGTGTCTTGTGTGCTGTGTGTGTTCCTGGACTCTGGCTCCAGATTTGCCTAATTTCCTCTCCTGGGTTTTAGAAAACACTGTCAGATGATGTTTTACTAATTGCAGTGGTGGTGATGCTCATGATTCTTCTCCCAAAAACATTCTCCCCTGGGATGTTTGTAACCTCTCACTATTCTTTCTTATTCTCCATTTGCCCATTAGCTCAGGTTCTGGGCCCTCTCTCCTCTCTAGATGGATGACACGTCTCTTATTTTACCTGATGCCTTATTATATGGCATTTGGTTATGTGAGTGGTGTTACCATCCACTTTGGAGGGTGGGGAGCACAGCAATAGGCTCCTTGGTCTGTTCCGTGCTGGTGTCATGGAGCGTGGGTGGTGTTTCCACCTGTCCCCAGTCCTGCGCTGACTCCGTGGACATCCTCCGAGGTGCGCAGCTCTGTGTGCGGCTGCGGCCGCTCCGCCACGCTGACTGCGGACTCACTGTGCACGTGGTGGTGTGGGACTGAGTAAATCAGACAGGTGACTGTCAGAACCTAGCCGCCAGGAAGTCACAGCTGTGCGGGAACAGGCAGTCCCGGGGGAAGGCTGCCTCCGCGTGCTCTGAGGAGCGTGTTCAGATTCCTTCTCAGTTAGTCAGTCAGTCCTCACCCAAGGATACTTTTCCATTGATTTTTAGATAGAGTGGGAAGAGAAAGAGACAGAGAAACACCGATGTGAGAGAGACACATCAATTGGTTGCCTCCTGCATGACCCCGACCACGGGCCGGAGATCGAACGTGCAGCCAGGTACATGCCCTTGACAGGGCTTCGAACCCACGACCCTTTGGTCCGTGGGCCAACGCCCTAACTGCTGAGCCAATCCGACTCCCTTCTTATACTTTCACACACATGCTTGTTAGTCTGCTCTTTGCAGTGTGGGTGAGGGAGAAGGAAGAACTGAGACCGTTGGGCTTAACTCCCCTGTGTTCTCCCCTGCCCCTCCATCTGCCTCCAGGTGCCACCGCCCCTGGCTGGCAGCACTGGGCTGTGTCCTCTTGGGAGGTGGAACCAGAATTAGTGCTAGTGCATCCCCATGGCACAGGGCTCTGCTCAGCGCTCTTGTCATCCACAGAGGGTCCTGCACAGGGTCCGAGCTGCTTGCGGCCTTTCCACTTGTCCTCAGCATGTGGGCAGTGGGGCCTTTCTGTGGGAGTTGGAAGGAAGAGCGTGAGAAAGTGACTGCTCTTCCACAGGCTTGCAGCCCACCCCCCGCCCTCCAGGGGGCACCCTCCAGCCCCTCCCCCCACCCCCACCCCCACCCCGGGGGCCCTGGGGCTTCCACAGGGCAGCGGTCCTGTTTCAGAACAGCTGCTCTCCAGAAGTTCTTAGAGTTCAGCTCCAGCTTCTACCTGCTGCCAACCCGGTTCTCGGCGTAATCTAGAGTGGTACCACCAAGGGAGCCAGGTGCTCTGTGGATCCCATACCCCAGCAGGCACTTGGGTCCCAGTCGGGCCTTCAGGTGCAGTCGTGCCCGGTGAGCAGTGCACAGCTGGGTGTGGTGGTCTCGCTGTGGGCTGGCACTGGTGCCCCTGGAGTGGGAATCTCCACAGAGGCCCACGGCCCACTTGTGGCAGCTTCCACACAAGGCTGAGATGACTGACTCGATTGGACGAGGTATTGGCCAGGGCTTTTTGTGAATAGAAGAATAGCTTTCCAGGTTTGAGAAGGCCCGTGAGGCACTTGAAATGACTTTAGGTCTGAGTGTGGTGTAGGAGGGGACCCCGACAAGACGGAAGGGTTGAGAGGTAGACCTGGGTCTGCAGCTCTGGAGCCAAGCCCCCTGTGCCCTGTTGCCAGGTGCCTGTTCGAGGGGCGCAGGGCTCATGAGTGTGAACGCACCCTGCCCCTTCCTCCCTCCTCCTGTTCCTCCCTTCCCCTCTTCCCCATTCCCCCTCCACCCCGCCCCTCCCTCCTTCCTGTTCCTCCCTCCTTCCTGTTCCTCCTTCCTTCCTCCTCCCCATTTCCCCTCTTCCCCATTCCCCCTCCACCCCGTCCCTCCCTCCTTCCCGTTCCTCCCTCCTTCCTCCTCCCCATTTCCCCTCTTCCCCATTCCCCCTCCACCCCGTCCCTCCCTCCTTCCTGTTCCTCCCTCCTTCCTGTTCCTCTCTCCTTCCTCCTCCCCATTTCCCCTCTTCCCCATTCCCCCTCCACCCCGCCCTCCCTCCTTCCTGTTCCTCCCTCCTTCCTCCTCCCCATTTCCCCTCTTCCCCATTCCCCCTCCACCCCGTCCCTCCCTCCTTCCTGTTCCTCCCTCCTTCCTCCTCCCCATTTCCCCTCTTCCCCATTCCCCCTCCACCCCGTCCCTCCCTCCTTCCTGTTCCTCCCTCCTTCCTGTTCCTCTCTCCTTCCTCCTCCCCATTTCCCCTCTTCCCCATTCCCCCTCCACCCCATCCCTCCCTCCTTCCTGTTCCTCCCTCCTTCCTGTTCCTCCCTCCTTCCTCCTCCCCATTTCCCCTCTTCCCCATTCCCCCTCCACCCCATCCCTCCCTCCTTCCTGTTCCTCCCTCCTTCCTCCTCCCCATTTCCCCTCTTCCCCATTGCCCCCTCCACCTCACCCCTCCCTCCTTCCTGTTCCTCCCTCCTTCCTGTTCCTCCCTCCTTCCTCCTCCCCATTTCCCCTCTTCCCCATTGCCCCCTCCACCCCGTCCCTCCCTCCTTCCTGTTCCTCCCTCCTTCCTCCTCCCCATTTCCCCTCTTCCCCATTCCCCCCTCTTCCCCATCCCTCCCTCCTTCATCCCTCCCTCCTCCACATTTCTCCTTCCTCCCTCCATTCATTCATTCCTTCCTTCCTTCCTTCCTTCCTTCCTTCCTTCCTTCCTTCCTTCCTTCCTTCCTTCCTTCCTTCCTTCCTTCCTTCCCCCCCTCCCCCGAAAACAGTCTGTGGATCAAGAATCAAGACTTGAAGCTTTTATAAATTTGATCGTGACGTAAACGTGTTAGTATTTTTTAAACTGCTGACATGGAGGTTTACATCCATGTCTGGTGGTGTAAGGTCCAGAGCTCTCCTGGACAGCTTTCTGGGCTGACCGCGCAGCTCCTTCGCCCTCCTCCTCCAGCGCAGCGGCGACAGCCCCCTGTGGCGGCTCACCAGAGCAGGAGCGCTGGGACAGTCGCGGTGGGGCTGTGGGGAGGACACGTGGGTCCCGCAGGGACCTCGGGCCCCGGCATTGTGTTAGAGCACGGGTGCCTTCCACGCGACTAGAGTAGGTAGAGGAGAAACCCCAGGCCATTTGCTCATCCTGAATCTTCCCCACCACCATATTTCAGGGCTTTTCCCCCCTTAAACTTAGAGAATGGGGTGTCTGCCTCCCTGAAGCCACATCTCCCTCTTTGGTGACTAGTGTTTATTCAATTTCTTCGTGTCCTTTTCTGATTAAACAGTTGCTGCCCTTCAGCTCCTTAGTCCATACGATCCTTCCCTCGGTCATGGACGTCAGTTACCTGCCCTGACAGCTTCCCACGGGCAGTGAATTTTCCGCCCTTCTAGAATCTGTTGTGGGAGGTTGAAATCAGTGAAACTGTGTTAAAGACGATGGAGAAGCCCTTGGGTGTGCGCATGCGTACAAGCCTGCCTGCTAGTGTTCACTCCGGCTCCTAAATACACGGAACCAGACCCTCCCTCCGTTCCTCCTTCCCATCCCTCCTTCCTCTCCCTCCTTCCCTCCTTCTTTCCCTTCCCCCCACTTTCCCTCCCTCTTTCCCTCCCTCCTTCCTCTCTCCCTCCTCCCCTCCCTCCCTTCCTCCCTTCATCCTATTGTATATCTAGGCACATACAGTGTTTCCATTGGAAACAGTGAGCTGAAGGCCAAGACAAATCCCAAGTGTACAGGCCGGCGACCTGGGAAGGGCCTGCTCTGGAGCAGCGGGCTGACCGCCTAGGGTGCGGCTAAGACAGTGGTCCCTCCTCCCTGCTCCTGGCGGGCCTTCCGCGGTCTCAGGTTTCACCTGCCACAGGTTTCACCTGCCACCGTTCTCTTCTCTTCTGGACTCGATGTCAACGTACTGTGAGCCCCTTAGGCAGAGGTGGCGTTTAGATACCCAGAAGCAGGAGGCCGTGAGGCTGTGCCTGGGTTTGCGACGTTTCGGGTACACCAGGCAGCGGACCTACGGCTAGGACTGGCCCTGACGGGGTGAGGGAGAGAGCTTCAGGTCAGACTCCCTCCTGTTCCCACGCACAGCACGGCCACTGGCACACTGTCGAGATCTCAAGGAGGATCAGGCTGGAGAATGGGAATGACTCCATGCAGTGCGCCACCCATATCAATTAAAAACCTTCCTCAGAGGGTAAGGCAGTAAACGTGTCGGCAGCATAGCTTAGTGGGGAAGGGCTGCCCCCCATTTGTTAGCTTTGTGATCTCCGGAAGGTGATGGAACCCCTCTGTGCCTCAACTTCCTTATTTGTAAACCTGAAACGGTGATAATACCTGTTGTGTAGGATTGTGTGAGGATAAATGAGTCAATATAGATGGCACATAGCACGTGCTCAATAAATGTTAGCAGTTACCACGGGACTGTAATAATCATGACATCAGCGGGGAATGGAGGAGACAGCGTCCCTTCTTGTCTGGCTGTCCACTCAGCAGTTTTAAAAGGAGCTCAGCCCTGGCTGGTTTGGCTCAGCGGTTAGAGCGTCGGCCTGCGGACCAGAGTCCCAGGTTTGGTTCCCACTAGGTGCACTTACCTCAGTTGCAGTTTGTCCCCGACTCTGGTTGGGGTCATGTGGGTGGCAACCAGTCGGTGTGTCTCTCATGTCAATGTTTCTCTCTCTCTCTCTCTCTTCATCCCTCTTTCCCTCCTGCTCTATCTGAAGATAAGTGCAAGAAAATGTCCTCACGTGAGGATTAAAAAAGAAAGGAGCTCAGATGGTTTCTGGTTCTGTGTCACCTTTATTATTTCCCGTTCTGTCCTTCGAAACCAAGGCCTGTGCTACAGCTCTAAGAACCCTACCTCAGCTTTGGATTTGTTTCGGAATGAGGACCTTTGGTCTTAATGAGATTCAAATAAGGCAGAAGGCAGGGAGGCCCTGAGTCCCCACGGCCATCTCCACACGCCTCTGCCCGGCCCTGTCTGCCACGCCTCCCAGGTCCTCCTCGCCCCTTATGGAATCAGTGCCCTGGTCAGGTCTGAGGATGGACACGGTGTGTGGGAGGGGACTTGCCTTTCCCCCGAGTCCTCTGCTGCTGGGCGGGCGCCCTTCCGGCGGGCGCACGGTTCGTGGGGGTTCGGGGAGTGGGGGTTGGAAAACACTCAAGCTGTGGGTGTGGATGGAGAGAGCAGTAGGCTCCCCTCCTCCCGCCTCCTTTCCAGGTGAGCCCCTCACCCTCCTCCCATCTGTTCCTTGAAATAATTCCCTGTGTTTTATCTGTTCATCTAGGGGAAGAAGAAGAAGAGGAAAAGGGACAAGCAGCCCGGGGAGACCAATGGTAAGTTGGAATAATGAGGGTGCAGGGCGGAGCGGTACTTGAGGACCACTCTTTTATGTCAGGCTTCTGGGGGGGGAGGCAAGAGGAACTCAAGGCCAGGACATTGTGGGGGAGCCCATCTTAGCCAGCCTTTTTGTTTATGCATTTTAATTAATTGCTTCATGCCTGCCCTTTTAAAGCTAGTAACATTTATTGTTGCATGAAAAGCACATTGTAATCCTAGCGGAATGTGTTTTTAAAGAACCGGAGAGCGGGAGGCATACCTTTGCGGGATGTCTGCAGTCTGCTTCCTGTGTCTGAGCAGGGCGAGGGCGGGGGCAGGAGGGGTGCTGGGTGTTACCTGGGCTGGACCTGGATGTTCCGATGCATGCCTTTACAGTGGTGAACTGCACCCGACTTAAATTAAGGAGGTTTGTCATTCTCTAGCAGAAATTAGAAATACTGCATAGGCAATCTCAGTGGTCCCTTGGAGAAGGCCAGGCTTCGACAAAACAAAAACATTTTGAAGGCTTTGTATAATTTGTTCTTTTTTTTCAGAACACAGCGAATGTTTCCTAAATCCTTGCCTTTCACTTCCTCCGATTACAGGTGCTAATGTCATTTTGAGTCGTTAAAATAGTTGCTAAACTGTTTTTAATTTTTCTTGCCATTATAGTTTGATTAACATTAAACACGTATGACATTTGAACATTCTTTAAAATGATCATCTACTTGGTTTTGTATGTTTCAGTAGAATATTTTTTTCACTTGCTTTTGTTGTTTTGGTTTTTATTTTTTTAATTTAACTTTTGCTTTGTTTATTTATTTATTTTTCCCATAACAGTTGTTTAAGCAGTGATGACAGTGATCTAGACTTGAACTAACTGTGCAAATTGAATATGCAGTATTTCTTTAAAAGAGACTGGTTAAAACCAAAAAAATGGAAGGAATTCAGTCATAAACCTCCTTAATCTAATGGCATTTTTTTCATTGCTCACTAAGTTTTCTCACGCACGCATGCCTCTGCAGTATGATTATTTTTTCCTTCGCTTTTTTTTATTTTAGTTTTTTTTTCTTCCTTTTGCTTTTCTGCTTATGATTTGCAAGCCCACTAGCCTTTTACTGACGGTACCTGCTTCAGTGCTATGAGCTTCCAACTAACTCGTTAACAGCTCATTTACATAGCCTGTTCACCTTTCTCTCTTCCTCTCTCAATATTAATGAAAGTAGATTAAACAAGAAAAGATGAACATTCCAAAAGCTGCAATATCCCAGTACCACAGCCCTTTTCTTTCCTTATTTCTTTCTGTTTTGTTTCATTTTGTTCTGTTTTTATTTGTAGTATTTTTCTTTTTTTAAACTGTTGTTGTCTGAGAAGAAAAAAGCATGTTACAAACTTAATTCCCTCCTTTGCTTTATTTTCTTCTTTAAGAAAAACAAATTGAGAAAAAGAAAAGGAAAAGGAAAAAAAAAAAAAAGAAAAGAAAAAAAAAAAAAAAGAAAGCAGAACCCAAACTGGAAAAACATTATTGGAGAGTTAGTTTCAGGATCTAACGTCCCTGCACCAGCTCCACCGAATCTGAGCCTCAGTCCTTCATGAAGGGATACTGCAGCTTTATTTGCAACAGCTAATTTCACACGTTGAATAAGAATGTGATTTTTTTTACTTTTTTTTTTTTCTTTTTAAAGAAAGTTAAAAATCGAAAGTCGATATTTTGTAATTAGTAACCAGGTCATTGATTTATTCCCTTTTTTTATTTTTATTTTTTTCTTATTTGTATCTTTCTCTTTTCCCCTCCCTCTCTCCCTCCCTCTCTCTCTCTTCCTCTCTCTCTCCCTCTCCCATGTCCTCCTCCTCTGCTCGCTTCTCTCTTGAACTCATTCAGACCTGAGCGCTCCTAAGAAATGCCGAGCGCGCTTTGGCCTTGATCAACAGAATAACTGGTGCGGCCCTTGCAGGTGTGTATAGATTTCCCAGATTCGCTGTGCTGGTTTGCAGCTGGTCTCTTCGGTCCTTTCCCCTCTCTGGCCTGTCGCTTTGTAGCTCTGTGTGTGGATCTTAGGGACACGAGGGCGTGGGACACTGCTCTGTGCGGGACGTGCTCGTTCCCCGCTGCTGCTAGCCAAATGCCACTGTAAAACAGCATCACTGCCTCCGCGGTCAGCGACAGCAGCCCCAGCACGCCCCTCCCGCGACCAAGGTCTGCACCCTCCTCATGCCGGCCGGGAGGGGCTCAGGGACCTCTACTGTGACCCTGGCCTAGGCAGATGCCACGACGTCACCTCTCCCCCCTCTCCTCTCTCTGTTTTGGTTTTTTTTTTTCCCTCGTTGTTTTTTTGGTTTCTGGTTGTTGTTTTTTTGTGCGTGTGTGTGTTTTATCGTTTTATTTTATTTTTTTCTTTTGACTCATAGAAGTCCTTTCCTTTCATGCCCTTGGTGAGGGAAGACAATCAGTAGAGCCCAGGTGATGTAGAAGACAAGTCAGCTGTAGCTGAGATTTCACATCCAAATGAGCACGACCCACCATTGTGTTGTATTTTTTGTGTTTACCTTATGCTAACAGATGCAAATACTCCAAAGAAGTGTCGGGCACTGTTCGGGCTTGACCGACAGACTTTATGGTGCAAACCGTGCAGGTATATGACCACTGCGAGGCCTTTGGGAAAATCAGAGCATCTGTCCTTCTGGTACCTTAGTGTGTCGATACACTTGGACCCCATTCCCGTCTCTCCCCGCACTGGCATCGATGGCTAATGATCCTCATTCTTCAAAATTCCCTTGCTAATTTTATGCTCTCCCCACTTTCTCTTCCTCTCTTCCCACTTCCTCTTACGAAGAACAGAACCCTGGTGGTAGGGCCTCGCCCGCAACCCTAACAGACCAGGACGGGCACTTGCCCTTTTGCTGTGACAGCCAGCATCCTGGCACCGGCCCGCCCCACGGTGCTTCCGTGGCTGCGTGCTAGCGTAGAGCGAGCTACCGTGGGCAGCAGTAGCGTTCGGAGTCAGGACACTGGAGAAGTGCTCTGGGGCAGGCTTTTTTTGGTTTTGTTCTGTTGTTTTGTTTTATGTTAACAAACCACATCTGTCCAGAGGAGCTTGGCTAGCGGGCATTGTTTTACAGCGCCGCACAGAAGCGTGGCACTGAGCGGCGTGCACCAGCTGGCAGGGCTGCGCCGGGAGCCGCGCAGGCCCACGCTGCAGCCCTGCCAGCCTGCAGGAGGCGACACAGCTCTGGGAGCGAGAGCACCGCTCCCACAGTGACCGCAGTGTCCCGGCCCAACCCCCGCTTCCACCTGCAGGCTTCCGCCCCACCTGTAATTTTAGGGAAGGCGTAGGTATTTCCTTCTCGGTGGAGGGATGCCGACTAGTTCTGTCTCATTTCCTTTCCTTTAATGACCACCTTGGTTAAATTTGTTGTTTCTTTGTTCTGATACAAGCAGTCTTTGAATTTGGAATATTATGATGGTAGGTATCTCAACACCCAAACACGCCTTTCTGTGTGTGGTGCCTCCCTTGTCACGTGACCCTCTCCCATGCCTCTGCCATGTGTTCCGTGTTTAGACGTTAGATCAGATGTCCATCCCATTACGTGCATGCCCACGGCTCTCCTGTGTCTTCTCCCCGTCCCTGATGCCTTACACGAGATTGGCGAAGTGCCTGGCATTGACCACACCCGTAGGGGAGACAGGGCCTGAGTCTTGGTTGAGAGGGAGCCCCCCCAGGCAACCCTCCTCATTGCGTGAGGACGGGGCCTCCTGAGCACAGCCGGAGAGGGACTCAGCCATTCTCTGAGACGGCCGTGGTCACGGAGGTGACAGGTACCCCTTCCACACGGTCCTGGCGTCCGTGGGACAGAAAGGGCTTCATGATGAAGTTGACGAAAGTGTTAGGTATTTAATTAGGGCTAGCCTGGAAGTCAGGAACTCTGCCACCCTCGCCGTCCAGGCAGTGGACTGTCAGATTTATATGGCGAGGAGGAAGAGCCTGGCTGGGGAATCCCACCGAGGGCCCCCCAGGGCCGAGGGCAGCTCCCCTGAGCAGGGCCCGCCCTGAGGGTCTCTCCTGCTCCGGAGCCCCGTGACCCCGTGCACACCTTGCACCGTGGTGTTGCCTGGTTTGTGTATTTATTTCGTGGGAGGTGAGTGGTGGCACGTGAATCCCCTTTTTGTTTTGGAAGCAGTTACTGCGAGTTGACTTAGCTCTTTGGGGGGGGTGTTGAAAGTCAGTCGTTACTGACATTGACTGCAGGACATGTCCTCCCCAGACACAGCCCCCACGTGGCTCCCGGCTGGTGTGCTGTCTTCTCAGAGACTAGGATTTTTATGACGTTTTTACCCAAAACAAAAACCACCGAAGACCTTGGTAGCTGCTTCGCAAGCAGGGTTCCCAGCGTGCAGCTCTGGCGGCGGCCGCGTGGCGGCGCCCTGGGTGCCGAGGCCCGTCCCGTTCTTCCGCCCAGCCCCCTCCCGCGGTCCTGTGGCCGCTGCTCTGTTGGGGGTGTTTTTCATACCCTCCGAGCTGTTGGGGGATACATTTCTGCTCTCTTAAGGGTAGAACTCCCAAACAGGATCTTTTCCTTTCCGAATAAACCCAGAAGAAGCTAAAAATGGATTTTTAACAGGCCACCCCTTGATTAGAGATGGCGCCTAGGGTAGGGGAAGGTAAGAGGATGGGTTTTGTCCCTTTTCCCCTCAACTTTTCCACTTTACTTTGCCAGGATCTGGCTTGATGCTAAATCAGCAGGACAAAACGTGTTTTAAAAAAGAAGAGTGCAAAACAAGGCATTTCCGCCCGTCAGAAATGTGTGTTCTGCCTGCCATTTGCCCAGCCACCTGCTAGGAGGAGCGTCACTGTCCTTCATAGTCTTCATGTCCCATGATCACATGTCCCCACGCATCCCCACAGCACGGAACGTCCATGTCACAAGGCGGGCGGGAGGGGTGGGGAGCACTAGAAATGCTCCTGGCCAATCAGGGCTCCTCGCTCGCTGCACAGGGTTTCTCGTTTTATTGGACATTTGAGGACATTTTTAACAAGACTCTGTTTGGAGCCCACCAAGTTGCTTTCCCACCTTTCACTCTGCCCTAACAGCTTGGAGTGCTGCTGGATGCCCTTCCTGTCCCCTGTCACCCCTCTCTCCCACCCCCCCCTTCTCCCTGTTGCTTTCTCCATGTTGTGTGTGCCCCCACCTCCCCTCCTCCCATTTTTAAAATGCATGGACATCTTAGTTTTCTGAACATGTTTTGATCTGCAGGCTAAGGTGGTTTAAAACTCTGAGAGGCTTAATTATTTATCTTGGGCTTCTGGGATGGGAGCAGAACCCACAGTCCATTTGTCTATCCCAGAGGAGAGAAAGGAACCGTGTCAGTTTGAAGGTGAGGGGGCTGCCCTCACTCCCCTAGAGCTCCTTCCAACCCAGAGAGGGGATGGATAGACCCCAAGCCACCTGCTCATGGGTCCCCACCTCTGGGAGGCAGGGAAGACTGAGCATGTCCCTCCCGTTCTTCCCCTCCCCCGCCCTCCTCCTGCCATCACGCTGAGTCCACACCCCACGCACTCAGGGGCATGATCAGACAGCTCTGGGCACGGGCCCAGGGAGTAGCTCATCCCGCCCCCTTCCTTTCAGAAGCCAGTGGCATCTGACAGGGGCTGCCTTCAAGCAGGCAGCATCTGAGTTGCTTCCTAGCGTTGGAGGCCAGCCGGAGCGCATACCTGTTTTCAGACGGAGTGTTATGAGCCCGACAGACACCAGCAGTGTTGTCTGACCACCTTCCTCAGAGCAGCACATCCCCTGGGTCCGCAGTATTTTCATGTAGCACGACTGGGCCGATCCCAGGATCACCTTTCCTACCCAGTATTAATCCGGTGGGGCTGGGACTAATAGTAGGAGAAGCTTTGAAGTCACATGCTCAGTTTCTTGAATTGATTTCCCCAACTTTTGATGATAAGCAAGAGAGGCTCTGAAATTCTCATTCCTATTCCTCACATAAACAGGAAATAGAAAAGGGAGGTTCTGGTTTTGGTACAGGGCAAAAAAATGAGTCTCGGTGGTTCAGGTACCAGTCAGGATAACCCAGAGCCAGAAGGTCTGTGCTGTGGCCCCTGGCACTTCTCTGTCCTCACTTCCTTGTGACCTGCTGCGCCCTCCAGCTACTGGCCTCGGCCCCTCCATGCCATCCTCACCCTCTCTCCTTTCCAGCCTTCTCACTCTGGGGTGGGGGAGGGGAAGACCCCAAATCTTTAAAAAAAAAAAAAAAATCAAGTCTGAATCATAATTTAATCCACAACCTGCAGGCCATACAACCAGTTATTCTCGTTCCTTTGGATCATTTTCTGTTTTTCTTATTCTTCCCCCTCCTCCACCTTTGTTTATCCTCTTCTACCTGTCTTTTGGTGGTTTTTTTGTTTTGTTTTTTTTTTAATTTTTCGTTTTTGTTTTGTTTTTTTTTAGTTTATTTTATTTTTGTTTTCCCCCTCCTCTCACCTGATTCTGACCTCTCTTGATTTGGTGTGGTTCTTAACAGACGAGCCCGGCAGCTCTCTGGGCACCAGCAGCCTGGTGGTGGTGGTGGTGTGGTGGTGGTGGTGGTGGTGGTGTGTTGAAACTCTCAGCCTCTTGCTAGCGCTGCCTTCAGCTCTGTGGGCTCAGTAGTCAGCATTTTCTAAGAGTTTCATATTCATACGAGGTGCCTGGGAAGGAGCCCTGTCTTTCTCTACACACACACACACCATTGGGGGTGGGGTGGGGGTGGGGGGTGATGATGGGAGAGGGGGAATGTTTAAGCCCAAAGAGAAATACGTTTTTAGTTCATCTCACTGTCCAACAATTTTCTGCCGCCACCTACAGGTGGCACCTGTGAGTCGCTCACGTACCTCTGGGCAGGGGTGGGTGGGGTGCCTAGTGGGGTACCTAGTGGGGTAGGGGAAGCAGCGAGGTAGGCAGTCCTGTAGTTAAGTCTTCTGCTCACCAGAGCGGGCGTGGGCGTGGGCAGCAGGTACTGAGCACGGCACCTCGTGGACTTTAACAGAGGTCTGGCCACTGGGCGTGCCGCCCCCTCGGGGCACCGTTAGGTGACTTCAGCGTGACTCTTCCCGTGGCACCTTTGCCCGTTATTCACAGAAACTCTCTCCCCTGTTTCTAGGAGAAAAAAAAAGTGCGTTCGCTACATACAAGGTGAAGGCAGCTGCCTCAGTCCACCCTCTTCAGATGGAAGCTTACTAGACTCGCCTCCTCCCTCCCCCAACCTGCTAGGCTCCCCGCCCCAAGACGCCAAGTCACAGACTGAGCAGACCCAGCCTCTCTCGCTGTCCCTGAAGCCCGACCCCCTGGCCCACCTGCCCATGATGCCTCCGCCGCCCGCCCTCCTGCTTGCCGAGGCGCACGGCAAGGCCGCCGCCCTCTGTCCCAACGGGGCCCTGGACCTGCCGCCCGCCGCGCTGCAGCCGCCCGCCGCGCCCGCCCGCGCGCAGCCGTCGACCTCTTCCTTACATTCCCACGGCGCCCTCGGGGCGCAGCCCCAGCCCCTCTCCCTGGTCACCAAGTCTCTAGAATAGCTTTAGCTTCGTGAGCCCTGCTTGTTTCGTGGAGTGCTTCAGTTCGCGTTTCTTTCTTTCTCCCCCCTTTTGGAAAGGTTTCGTTTTGTACTCTTTAATTTTGTGCCACGTGGCTACATTAGTTAATGTTTATCGAGTTCATTGGTCAATATTTGACCCATTCTTATTTCAATTTCTCCTTTTAAATATGTAGATGAGAGAAGAACCTCATGATTCTACCAAAATTTTTATCAACAGCTGTTTAAAGTCTTTGTAGCGTTTAAAAATAAATAAATATATATATATATACATAACTGTTATGTAGTTCGGATAGCTTAGTTTTAAAAGACTGATTAAAAAATAAAAAGGAAAAAAAAAAAAAAGGAAGCAGTTTCGGAGCAGCCCTCCCGAAGGGGTTGGTTCTGTATTATTTGTATTAAATACGAGCCTGCGAACCAATCATTCACATCCCGTCTCCAACCCAGGGCACCCCGCGCCCGGTGCCGTCACTTTCTTTTCTGTGTGAGACAACTTTTATTGTGATGTTACTTGTTCTTGTTTAAATGTACAGAAGCAAAGGGTTAAAATGTGTTAATATACCTTGTCCCATGGTGTTGTTCTTTTGGGGGGAGGGATGCTACTCAACAATGAATGGACTCACAACGCCGTTGGACCAGTAGTATTTATTGCTTTAGAGATTGCTCGTCGAACCTGTACGTTGTCCCTTTTAAAATATGTTTTCCTTTTTCTTGAAACTGTATAAAGTCTTTTTTCCCCTTAGCATCAGCATCTTATATATAACAACTCATTTGTACAAGGTTTTTAAGTTTATATATAAAATGTGTATATATATTTTTTTGTTTCCATTTTCGACTTTTTTTTTTTCCTGTATGAAATCCAGATGCCGCCCAATGGACATGAATAGTTGCATTAAAGGATCAGTAGCATTAACAAAAGTTGCTTTAAAAGCCATTATGTGAAACAAGACTTGAAAATTAGTGAGGGAATTTTAGCGACGCTGTACGAGCAACGGTGGGAACCGTCCTGTTTCCCCTTTGAACTCACAGTCGAAGGCCCTGCACCCGAGGACGCGGACTGACTGTGCAAAACTTTATGTGCCAAAATTCTCGGTGACTCCAGCTTTCTCCCTCTTTTCGATGCTGTAATTTTTGTTCATCATGTTTTGCTGTGATGTTACATAGGTAGATTTGTGTGTAGTTTTAATGTCACCTATAACAAGATGTGTTTGGTAGCAGATTGTCCAGAAAAGCATTTTAAATGAAGAGGTATAAACCCTTAAGGGCCAAAATTCTGTATATTAGATTACTCTTAAAGGAGAAACCAGCTGCCGCTTTTATGTACACGTACGACATACAAGTAGGTAGCAAACTTTAAAAATAAAAAAAAAACCTAGGCATGTTGATGTTGCAAAATGCTGTATAAAGCTGAGACCTGTTCATGCGGTGCCACTGTAGTTGACATGAGCGATTGTGAAACTGTCTCCGACTTTTCTCTGGTTTATTAAGATGCTAACTATAACACTTTTTTTTGTGAATACTTTGAATGTTTCCTAACAGTTGTGATGTTACTGTTCCGTTTTATGCTCTTATTCCAATTTCATTTTCGATGGTTTGGAAGCCATTTTTGTAATGAATAAATGTTCACGATGTACAGTATCTGTAGCATGCCGTGCCGGATTAATAAAGCAACTTAGTGTGTGCAGATGAAGGCTGATCGCTGCTTTCTGTGAGTCGCATCTTATCTCCGGGGAAACGGCGTCTGCCTTCACTCAGAGATGTATTCCCCAGCTGGAACCTGAGGCCCGTGGATGGCATGGGTGGTGGGTGGTGACTTGGCTACCAGCACCGGGTCTTGAACTCCTCTGAGGGGTTGGTTCTCCCTCACTCGTGTATTTGCAATGCCTGTTTGGCCTGTTTTGTGTACTGTAAGTTTATTTCTGAAAGTAAAGCAGTTACAGACCACATGTGACTCTTCTGGTTATGAAACAGTCGCTCGGGTACAGCCCGGTTGTCCCATGCCCAGTATCGAGCCCAGGGGATGGGTTCTGGTTAAGGAGACAGTCCACCGGCAGTGGATGGAAGGAACCACGTCATTCCCCCTGCAGGACCTACGTTCTCGCAAGAGGTGCGGGCAGGTCGAGGTGCCGGGTGCCCACCCGAAACCCCTCTGGCAGTGAGCAGTGGTTGGGCAAGCTGCTCCTCCGGACGCTGGATCGAGGCGGTTCACCCAGGGGTTTGTGTGGAGGAGTGCGTGGGACTCAAGTTCCTGGGCTCTGCGCTGGCCAGGGTGCGAGGTCATCACCAGTGCTGGTCGGGCCACGATAAAGATCTTCCCAAGGTTTCTGTGGCGTTCCCCTCAGGCCGACTGGGCTGATGATGCATACGGTGCTCACTTCCCTGGGACACCCAAACCTTCCCGGGTGATTTCAGCGGGTGTGGAAGCTGTTCGTGTCACTGCCGCTGTCGCTCAGGGTTACACAGCGTGGGGGTCAGGAGCTTCAGGTCTGTCCGAGGCTCTGCTTTGCGCTGCTACTTCTTGCTTTGCAAAATCTCGGTATTTGTTTTCGCTTTTTGCTCTGGATTCCCGGGGAGGAGTGGTTCTGGGCGTCCGTCCCGCTCTTACTGTGCACACTGACCCCCGAGTGCCCTTTGGCAACACCAGGAAGGACAGTACCTGGCAGCGCGGAGGGAGCTGAGCAGTACCTGTGCGTCTGCTCGCTTCATCCCACGCTGCCACCCGAGGGGATGTTCTGCCCTCCGCCCTCTGCTTTAGGTCCTGAAACCTGCTTTAGACACTCAGGGTTTGTGTCCTGTCCAAGGTCACATAGCATGTAGGCTGGCGGAGCTGGGCTTTAAAGTAGTCTCTGACCCGAAGCCTGTGCTCTTAGCACAGTTGTGCCTCCTTGCTAGTCAAGGTGGGCCTTCTGCGGACCTGATGGGACAGCCCTGAAGCCCTTCTTGGTGCTCCTCCTCCGCTCCCCACACTCCCCCTCGAGCGAGGGACAGAGGTCAGCTTCCCGACAGCGTTCTTGCTTTTCCACATTCGGATGCTCTTCTCCTGCACTCCACTCCCCACCCTCGGGTCTCAGAGGGTCTCAGCGGAGACACTGCGGGAGACGGGGCCGGCTCCCTACGTGCTCTAACAGCTTCCCGTTCTCCCCCCTCAGCACCCTTGCCCAGTCATGTCACGTTGCGCCAGCTGTTGACACTTGGGGCTGCGTAATTCTTAGTGGTGGGGTGCTGTCCCTTGCATTGTAGGATGTTAACATTCCTGGCTTCTCCCCACTAGAAGCCAGTAGCCCCTCCCCCACCAGACATGCCAACCAGAAATGTCACCACACGTTGCCAGATGTCGCCTGGAGGTCAGAAGCTCATGGTTGAGCACCATTGCACTAGGGAGCCCTCCAGGAGGACAGGACCATGGCTGTTCTGTTCACTCCCGTACACACAGTTCTGGTTCAGTACTGGGCACCTGGGGGTGCTCCATAGATCTGTTTGCGAGAGAAGGAGTGAACAGAGTTGGCCAAGTCAACACCTGTATGCCGGGAAGCAGGAGAATGGAAATCTTCCATAAGCCTTCAAATTCTGTGTAGTCAGGACTTCCGAGGTGTCGGTGATTTCCGTCACCCTGTCAGCCATGCGGGTATGTAACTCAGTGTCCTTGTTACAAAGGCCAAAAGGAGAAGCCAGGTGGCAGTAGGGCCGGTCCCTCTGCCACCAGCCAGCACGCTCATCTCTGTAAAATTCAAAACAGTAGACCGCCTGGCCACATGCTTACTGTCCTCCCTCCAGCATTCGGTACACTTCAGGGACCTTCTTTACACCCTAATATGGAGTCCCCCCAAGCTTCTCATTCTCGGCAGTCCAGGTTCGAGTCTCCCAAATAGCCCAGGCCCAGGCCCTTCAGCACCCCTGTGTCCATCAGTGTGGTGTCTAAAGCTCGAGAGTTTATTTTAAAGGCAGTATCTTCCTATTGCAGCTATAATAAGGGGATCTGAGGGGTCTGGGTACTGCGAGACCCCAGATGACATCCAGGAGCTCGTAACTCCCAGTCTCAGCCATCACTTCCTCCTGATGGGGCCTGGCCAAGTCTGTTTGCACAGGAGGAGAGTGTATTAGTTTCCTGTGGCTGCTGTGACAAAGGAACACAGGCGGGTGGTTCCATCAGCAGCTGTCAGAGCCTGGAGCCGGAGGCTGGACGCAGATGGTCCTCCCTCCGGACATTCTAGAGCCTCGTCTGCTACGTCTCTTCCCGCTTCTGGTGGCCGCCTGCAGTCCTGGGTGTGCCTCATCTTTCAGCCAAACCGCTCAAATCTCTTCCCCTCTTCACATCGCGGCCTTCTGTGTGCCTGTCCCCCGGGTCCCTCTGCTTCTCATGAGGACACGTGTGACTGTATTTGTTTTTTGTTTTTTTTTATCCTCACCCAAGGATATTTTTCCATTTTTTGTACAGATAGAGTGGGAGGGAGAGAGAGGAAGGGAGAGAGAGAGAGAAACATCGACGTGAAGGGACACATCGAGTGGCTGCCACCCGCACGACCAACCAGGGCCGGGGACAAACTGCAACCGAAGTACGTGCCCTTAGCGGGAACCGAACCCGGGTCTCTCCGGACCGCAGGCCAACGCTCTAACCGCTGAGCCAAACCAGCCAGGGCCGTGTGACTGTATTTGGAGCCCACCTGGAAAACCCTGGTCCAGCACGATCTCTAGGTCATTCACTTAATCACGCTTGCCATATAACGAACACAGGTTGGAGGATTAACACGTGGATGTGTATTTTGGGGAGCCACCCTTCAGCCCGCTACCGAGGGTCTGCCGATTCTGCAACAACTGCAGCCTCTGCATAGAACCCCCAGAATGGGCTTTGGACAAGTACTGCGACAGTGATTTCTGTGGTAGGTGGCTTTCCATGCCAGGTGATGGCAGGTGCACTTTACTGTCGTGATGTGAATGCAGATAGCGTCAGCTGGGTTTTTCACCGGGCCCAGGAGTTGAAGAGGGGAAGCATCTGGAAGCCATGCGGGTAACCTGAGCTTGGAGAATCCTCACTGTGTGTCCGTGGGTGGTTCCTTCATCTCTCTGAGCCTCCGTGTCTTCAGCTGAGAAGTGGTGACAGTCGTCCTCGTTCTGACGGACTCTTAGGAGGGCTAGAATGCAGAGTGCCTGGAATAGCAAATAATAAGATGTTCGCGGTTCTCATAAAAGCAGAAGGCCCGTCACAGCTGTTTGTTTCCCCGCCTCTCTCTGGGATTCTGCAGGTCCTGCTCGTCAAAGCCAGGTTAGAGAATCACAGGATCTAGACAGAGACACGTCCTCGTTGTCAAGGGGTCAGTCCCCGGGACGCTGTGACTCACCTACAGTCATTGCCCTTACCTGAAATCGTATGGCCCTAGGAAAGTTTCTCCCACCTTTTGGGGAGCCACAGCTCTGGCTGGGGTGCTTTGTGGGCACAGAAATGTGTTCTTAATTAAAGCCCTTTGGAAAGAAACTCAGGAATAGCCTAAAAGTCTCTGGCAAATGCCAGAACCCGGAGTTGGGAATTACTCTAAAGGAGTCCCACCTGGGGTGGGCTTCTTCATCTCCCATTTCAGATCATGAGTGGCCGTGGCGGAGGTCTGCAGGAGTCCTGGCATGGCCCCGGGGCCAGCAACGACAAAGTCTGGCTCTGGAGCGTGTGGCTTCTTAAAGGTGGCACCTTGTGAGTACACTTGATGGGAGCTCTGAGTTGGCACATTGACTAGTTGGTTGATTGATTCACTATTCATTCAACAACTATTTCTCGAACACCTCTTTGCACCAGGTACTCTGCTCGGCACTGGCAGGAGGGTCTGGGTTTCTCCCACTGAGCTCAGTCCCCCACCATCCTTCAGGGCCACCAACATTCCCGAGGCCTGGACAGCTGCACAGCTGGGAAGTGACTTTATATAAGGATGGCAGGAGGATGTGCTGAAAACTCTGTGTTTCTCGTTTAATCCTAATGGGGATGAAAGTGCTTTTAGGTCCACTGTGCAGATGGGGAAAGTGAGGCTCAGGGAGGTTAAGAGGGTTTCTCAAAGGCACATGTGTGGGCAGTAGTAAGCCTGGGATTCGAACCCAGGCAGCCTGACTCGGGAGGCTGAATAGATAAATACCATGCGCACCTGCTCCTTAGGAAGACACAGACCATCTGAGTAGCAGGACAGAGGCGGAGGGTGGAGCTGATTTGATTCATGGCCTCTGCTATGAACCCGCCAGGTTCTTTCTCGCTGTCTGTGTGCAGGAATTTTTCCTCAGTCTGGTTTCTGTGCACATATTAACCATAAAGACAGCTGATAATTACATGGATCGAGCTATTTTGGACTCAGCACTAGAAGTTGTAGAACCCTAGAACTGGAAGAAAATTAGAAGTAATATGTGTTCCAACACTGTGCATGTATATTATATAAGTCTCTCAGATTGATAGGTTAGGAAATCAATTTAACCGATCAAGGCCAGCATTTTAAAAACATAAAATGGAATGACACAGAATCCATTGCTTTGCCCCTCCTCATATTTCAGTTTAAATGAGGTCTCTGGTATTAGTCAGAGTAGGCTAGATCAGAGATTATCAACCTTTTTCATCTCATGGCACACATAAACTAATTATTACAATTCTGCGGCACATTGAAAAATATATTTTTTGCCAATCTGACAAAATATTTTTTTCGATTCATTTACACGAGATGGCTATTTTGTGTTGGCTGTTATCATTTAAAAAATATTTTTTTTATTGTTGTGTTTTTTTTTAGAGAGAGAGGGATAGAA